GGAACTGGTCCCGGGTAACCGCACTGGCCAGATAGATTCTGTAAAGAGGAAGGAGTGAGTGCAGGCGTCCACGAAAAAGCGCCCATGAATGCACTGACCTGTCAACGGGCTCGGTGAAGGCGTCCTCCAGAGTGACGGGCACGACGCCAGGGAGCTCTGCAAGCTGTTGGGCAGCTTTGCCCTGAGGGTCTCTGGTGATGGCGAGGACGTGGTGACGCCCGGTCTGGGCCAGAGCCCTCACAACCGCCGCTCCGGTGTTTCCCGTGGCCCCAGTGACTGCAATGCGCATTGTTGTGGTGGTGGCGATTTGTGTAAGGGTCAGTGTCGAGTTGCTGGTTCTTCGTTTTAAGGAACAAGAGGGTCCCTATCAGCTGTCGGCGATACGATATCAGCTTCGGCGGAATGCAGACAGCATTCTATCTAAAAATCTCGGCGCACAATCAAAAAATGTTCCGTCGATAAAAATTCTCCGTACCTGCAATGCGGTCTTTTTTCCCTCTTTTTTTTTCCTTTCCCAGGTGCGACCGCCAGCGTGCAAGACTACCGAAGGGCGCGGGTGCGCGTGCGGGCCAATCCCACGCGCGGCACCTTCTGCTGCGCTGTTTCGTCCTGAGGAACAGCGGCGTGGCTGCTCGCGCTACACTATCTTCTCCGGAATTCCAAACGTGTGTGTGTGTGCGTGCGTGTGTGTGATGAGTGCGTGTTGCCAGTGGAGAAAGAGCATATGGTACCCGTGGAGAAAGAGAAAGTGGAGGCAGTGAACTGCTGCCAGAGGAAGAATGTCAAGACCAATGGTGATGGAAAACAGGATCAGAAGAGGCCGCTGCGGCTGCCCTGGCCCTTCGAGCCCTTGTCGTGGGGGCTGTTCTCCGGGTTGGCCTTGCGGATCTCGCGCACCAGCTCGAAGAAGCAGGCGTCGAGGTCGATGCGCGCCTTGGCCGACGTCTCGAGGTACTTGCACCCGAACGATTCGGCCAGGTCGGCGCCCTCGCCCCACGCGCAGGAGCTCCAGGTCGCACTTGTTGCCCACCAGCACCATGGGCATGTCGTTGTGGTCGTCGACCACTTTCTTGGCCTGCAGGATCTGCTCGCGCAAGGCCGAGACTCTTCGAACGAGCCGCGGCTGGCGATGGAGAAGAATGTTGTGTTTCTGTGTTGTTTTGACCAATGCCACCGTTCACGTCTATTCCGTGATAGGTGAGTAAAAAAGCGAGCAGTAGCATTGGGTCGCATGCTGCAAGATGATTGGTTCAGAACTTGAACCCAGGACCAATGGCCGGGCCAGGATTTGTAGTGATGGTGTACTCGTAGGCGCCGACAGTGGGGGTGGTGTTGGACCGGGGCGTGTTGTTGAAGTCCTTGGTCGCCGGCGCCGTGTAGGCCGCGCTGCCGGCGTTCTTGAGGGCGCTAGTCGCCGATGGGTATAAGTTGTTGGCCGCCGCGTTGGTCACCGCGCCGGTCGTGACCTGGAACACGCCGGTCGAGGGCACGCCTTGTGTGTGCGTTCTCTAATGTCAGCCAAGCTCGCCGTGCGGCATGTGCGGTCGGCGTGCGGTGGTTAGAGCGTACCGGCCGGGGCTGAGCCGGACACGTAGGCGTTCTTGAGCCACACGGTGTTGGTCTGGGTCTGCACGGCGAAGGCGTTGGCCGACAGGAACGCGTTGTTGGCGACCACGAACTGACTTCCGCTCAAAGCCTGCGTTGCGTGTCGTGCGTGTGCGTGTGAGTGTGTGCGGTTTGAGTTACAAGAACTAAAATGCCGCACAGGAGAAGGAGAAGCGTGTACAGGAAGATAGAGGTCGACGTAGCCCGAGTTGTAGATCGTGTTGTGGACGATCTGTACGTTGGAATAGACCCCGNTCTGCTGGTTCTGGTTGTTGGC